TCTGAAAAAAGATTTTTTTATAACTGAGTTTTCAGTATTTTTTTACACTTTTTTATTTTAAATTTTTTAAAACAGAAAATTGTTTTAGAGTTACAAACTAAGTAGGCTTTAATTTTTAAGAGCTTTGCTAGCAACAGTCGATATCATCGACGGTTGGCAATAGTGGGCACATGGGGTAATTTTTTTTTTTCTTTAATTATCTTGTTTTAAGACACACACTTTGGAAAGAGAGTTTTGACTTACTAGACCTTATTGCCTTTTCACTTTCCCTTTAACCGATCATTGCACTAAATTTTATTTTATTTTTTATTTTATTATTTATTTATTTTTTTCATATCTGATAAAAACAACCTTGAAAAAGACGATCATCACCAAACTCAGTCCATAGAATTACAATAACAATGGACATTATGAATTCCAATAGAATTACAGTTCTCCTTCATTTAACCGGTCATTGCACTTTCTTTTTTTTTCCTCATTATCACCTAACTCAATCCAATAGATATTTTTTTTTTTTTTTTTTTTTTTCCCTCATCACCACCAAACTCAGTCCAATAAAATTACAGTAACAATCGACGTTATGAATTCCAATAAAATTATAGTCGCACATTATTACGTTTTCTCCTTCCTTTAACACTTAATTGCACTCTTTTTTTTTCCTCATCATCACCAAACTCAATCTAATAGAATTATAGTAACAATCGACATTAAGAATTCCAATAGAATTACAATAGCACATCAAGTAAACCTCTTGACAATAAAGTGTAAATTAAACATTCATCAAGTAAAGCTTGTCTACATCCATAGACAAAAGATTACAACATCAATTTCCGAAAAAAAAAAAGAGCTTTGCTAGTAAATAAAATCCCATCACATCTCAAAATTAAATGTAAATAAAATCCCATCACATCTTAAAATATTACTCTGCACATGAACAAAATAAACATGCCAAAAAACAAGAGCTTACAACATCATTATAATTAAATTTAAATAAAATCCCATCACATCTCAAAATATTACTCCGTACATGAACAAAATAAACATGCCTCTTCATGAATTAATCATAGCTATTCCTCAACAAAACCTCCTTCTTCATAAACCTGAAAATTTTAAATTATCAAAAATCAAACATCATTTTTCATCCTTTCATTAATATACAACACTATTTTTTATGCTATGTAAGTAAAGATGCATCTTGTGTATTTCAAAAGGAAACTATAATATTTAATGCATGACAAACCTCCACTTCCAAAGGTTTTCTCTTCCTTAACAAAACCCTGCTTTTTCATAAACCTGAAATTTTCAAATTATCAAAAATCAAGCATCATTTTTCATCTCTTTCACTAATATACAACACTATTTTTTATGCTATGCAAGTAAGATACATCTTGTGTAAAGGAAATTATAATATTTAATGCATGACAAACCTCCACTTCCAAAGGTTTTCTCTTCCTCAACAAAAACCTGCTTTTTCATAAACCTGAAATTTTTAAATTATCAAAAATCAAACATCATTTTTCATCTCTTTGATTAATATACAACACTATTTTTTATGCTATATAAGTAAGATGCATCTTGTGTATTTCAAAATGAAATTATAACATTCAATGCATGACAAACCTCACTTCCAAAGGTGTTCTCCTCCTATCATTGGGCACTTCCATAGGCTTTTGAACCTAAAAGTGCAAGTATTAATAATTAATAAGTAAGAAATATACCATGAAATGAAATACATATGCAATATAATTAAAACTCTAACCTGTTTTGCTTTGCTTTTGCATCTTCTTTTACTCATTTTCTCAATCCCATTTTTAATCCTTTTAGGAGCTCCTTTTGTAGTTGACACTTGTGGGTCGAGAACTGCGATGTCAAGTATCACATTATTATCGACATTCTCTTTATCAAGATCATGAGAACTACAATGATCTTTTAAGTCCAAAAGAGAACTATTGACCATTGCACATTTTTTCACAACTTCCTTTAGTGCATCATATGCAATGTTAAAACTCTCAATGCATGTTGACCCCTCTTTACTCAATTTGGTGGCTTCTTCAAGTAACTCATTAAAATGTTGCTTCTTCGAACGAATATCTTTTGGAATGTGTCTTGTGGTATTAATACATTTTGCATCTTTAGTCCATCTCTTTAAGATGTATTGAGTTGGAATGTTAAAAACACCAAATGATTGTAATACTGCCGACGCATGTCTACAAAGAAACCCATTGTACTCAAACAAACGACATAAACAAAAAATCTCTTCCTTGCTTGCATCCAAAGTCTTTATTTTTTTCAAAATCTTGAACTTTTAAACTCTTAATTTTACCATCTTCCGATGTTTTTTTAGGATAACATTCAAATGCTCCCAAAACCTCAACTTGAAATTTCTTGAAGACTTTATGTGTGTAAATTGTTGACATTTGTTTCTCAAAAGGTGAGGGAGACTTTAGAACAGCTTCTTTGTATAATGTATCAAAATTAGCATAAGCCTCCTTTTCTTCTCTATCTTGTAAAGCCACCATATACTGTTCTACAAACTCCTTCAATGAAGTTTTCTTGCCCACATATTTATCAAAAGATGAGTTTATACTTTCAGATCTTTGAGTTATAGACATTCCAGCAAAAAATGTACCCCTCATGTAAATTGGAACCCAATGTTTACGATCCTTAAATAAAGCTTCAAGCCATTCATTCTTTGTAAGTTCAAATTGTTCAACCATATTCCTCCATTTCATCTCAGCGTCTCCTTCAATCCATACGTTATAAATACATCTATTGAATATCTCCATAAAATTTTCATGTTTTCATATTACATGACCAAGTTTTTCTATGCCACAAACAAAACCGGTGTCGTGCATTGGGGAATAACTTTGAAATGGCTGATTTCATAGCCTTGTCTTGGTCAGTTAAAATAGCATATGGAGATTTTCCACCAATTGCTCTAATAAAAGTTTGCATTAGCCAAATAAATGTAGACGTAGTTTTATCAACAAGTAATGCACATCCAAGAAGTGTGGTTTGGAAGTGATTATTCACACCAACAAATGGAGCGAATGACATTTTGTATTTGTTAGTGATATATGTAGTTTCAAAAGAAACGACATCTCCAAAAATCTTGTAATCTTCTCGTCCTTTTGCATCAACCCAAAAACCATTTCTTAAACATTGTTCTTCATCCAAATCCAATGCATAAAAAAAATTAACATTTTTTTCTTGCATATGTAGAAAATGTTCCAACATCACTTGAGCATCCCCTGATGCTAAATCCAAACGTCTTTCCTTATCAAATGGTTCTAAATGTCTTTTTCTAAAAATCCAATGTTCTCATATCCACCATTTTGTTTGGCCATTGCAGCAAAAATCTTGTCTTCACCCCAACTGCATGTAAAGTATCCATGCTACGCTTGATGGAAGGAGATATGTTTCTATGACACGACAAATAATGTGTATGACTAGGAAAAAGTTCATGGTTATGTTCTTTGATGAACTAATGAATAAACCATTTTCCAGCTTGTCTTCTTTTTACATGTAAAAATGCCTTGCAATCAATCTTTAAACAAGATCGTTGATTAAGTGCATCAGACTCTCGTTTAAACCCATACCTTGAGCAAGCAAATTTTACATCAATGAATTCTCCATTTGCCCCTTTTGCCATTGATCGTTGACTAGCTTTTATTGAGGCACCAAACTTGCAGGGGCGGCTCAATGTTATTTAAGGCCTTAGGTGAAAAAAATAAAGTGGCCTTTTAATTAAATCTACCCATATATTTATGTCAGTATTATGCTAATTATTTGTTTTGTGATTTTTAAACCTATCACTAAATTTTTTCCAAACTCTAGTTCCATTGTTAATTAATTGGCCATGTGCTTTCTAATAGTCACATTTAACAATATAAATAAAAATTATAAACAAAATATATAATTTTATAATAACAAAAATAAATAAAACTATAAATTAATTTAAGTAATAGAATAATAGAAACTGATTTCGAATAATTTGGTATAATACTCCAATAAATTCTTTAATAGAATATAAGTGTATTCAAAATCTTATTACAGAGCCAGATTGTGAAATTATAAATTGTAACAGTGGAGAAGATGAAAAAAAAAAAAAAAAAATTATAATGAGAGAGGAGAAAAAATATATAAGGAGTAAGAAAAAAAAGAGAAAATAAAAATTAATAGGAGTTTTAGAAAAATATAGAAAGTTTCACTAATTTTCACTTAAATATATATTTAATATTTAGTGTGTGTATATATGCTGATGTAATGAGGGTGAGAGAGAGCCCAAAAAAAAAAAAAAAAATTATAATAATACAAGGATAGAAATATTTTTGGCACACTTTGTATTTGTTGAGATTTAATAATATAAGAAAATAAAATATTTAGGTAAGTTATGATATATAAAAATAAAAAAAAATTTGGGGGCCCCTCAAAAAAAATATATAGAACAGAAATTTTTTAGGTAACTGTCAAATTTTTCTACACGTTAAAGTTAATAATTAAAGGAAATACTATAATTGTTTTAGGAAAGTTATAATATATAAAGAAATAAAAAATTATGGGGCCCTTTTATTGGATGAGGCCTTAGGCAACCGCCTAACTCGCCTAAGGCTCCAGCCACCTCTGCAAACCCGACATCCTTTGTGTACCCTTGGTAAAATGAATATACTTCTTCATGTGAATTAAATTCCATACCATTATAAGGTCCCAATTCTTTTTCCCTTCCGTCATGTTTTTCACCATATATCATATTTTTAGTTGCACTTAAAACATTCTCGTTAATACATTCCTTATAGGCTATATTCAAATCAATATTTGGATCCATGATTACCTAATATAAGAGAAAAAGAACCCTTCAAATTATGTAATTAAGGTTTTTTTTTTTTTGTCAACATGAAATTTACCTCTAAAAAAACTAATGAGTACAGAACAAAAAAAAAATAAAACATACCTCTAAACAAATTCGTGGGAAGTGGATGAAAAGACTGAGACGTCCGCAAATGAAGATTAAGCAAAGTAGAGACTTTCAGTATGCCTCAGAATCTGCTAAATCAGAAAAAATCGGATTGGACGAATGGCCCGGTCAACTCAGTGAGCCGGCACGGCACGAATGGTGGTTCACTGGATTGATTGAAAGGATTCGCGTTCAGCAGTGGACTGAGTTTGATGATGATCGTCTTCTTCAAGGTTGTTTTTATCATATGAGATAAAAAAGGAAAGTGCAATGACCGGTTAAAGGGAAGGTGAAAAGGCAATAAGCGGTTCAGTAAGTGAAAACTCTCTTTCCAAAGTGTATGTCTTAAAACAATATAATTAAAGAAAAAAAAAATGACCCCCTGTGCCCATTCTTACGTGGGCCAATTAAAATTGTCAACTGTTTTGCAAAACTCAATTTTAACACGTCATTACTGCTTATGGTACACAATAATTTACATTTTTATCCCAAATTTTAAATGGGTCAGGCATATAAGTATAAATATTTGAGAAGTATGCACTTATGGATTCCATCTTTATTTTTAATTGCAATAACAAAGTGCAAATTATATTGCACCAATAGGGATGGCAACGGATTGGTTTGGGGTGGGAGCCTCTTCCCGTTTAGGTTTATCGTTCAGTCTTCGTTTAAAATCGTTTAACAGACAACCCTTGTGCCTATTTAAGTTCCCTCTCTCCATGCCGTTTAAATTCTAATACAATTATTACTGCTTTTAAAATTTTATACTCACATTTTTAAAACCTCAAATTCATGGATGTAAATCAAATAAACACTCATCCAAAATCTACAAAATTATAGCAAATTAACAAGAAAAATATTAACATTTTTTTCAACAAAAAGGATAATTTTGTATATAACAAAAGGTAAAAGAATACTTATTGAAAAAAAGGTTCAAGAATATAATAGTAAATTTATAATATAAACGTGCGAGGCATCCTTCCCCATCTCTGCCTGTACACACGCAAATTTTCAATTCTAAAATTTGTTCCTGTTCAAAATTTAAAAATCGGACTTTCAAAATTGTTTTAAACAGAATTAGACGAGCTTATACCGACTAATGAAAAGGGGTATTTGGAACACATACATTTAGTATTAACCAACAGCTCGTAAAAAATCAATTGAAATTAATACTATTTCTTATCCTTTTTAACTATGCATAAGAAATAAAAAACTAAAAAAATAAAATAACTTAAGAAGTTAGTAAGTCTCCCGTAAACGAAATTGAATTAAACAATAATTGGAAAATTATTTAATTTAGTGTACAACTAATTGATAAGAATTTGGCTCAATATTCAACAATCAAACATACTCGTGAAAATGACGATGCTACAAAATTTTTACAGAGTCAATAGTGGCATTCCTAACCCTTTTAGCTACCCCCTTCTTGAAACCCTACCCGTTAATCAGTTGATCAAGTTGTTTGTTTGCTCGTTTGGCCTCAAATCTGAATCCACCATGTTGCAATATGGCTTCATTCATTACAAAACCCCCAACGGTAACCAGCAGACATATATATATATATATATATTGATTAAAATTTTGAATTGAACTGATAATAGGTTGTAAGATGATGAACTCATTCCTAGCAAGCTTGATTTGCTTGGTGATGAAGTTGATTCTTAAGGAGGAGGTCACATGAAGTACATTGGGTCGATTCTGTTCCCAAAAGGCCAATACAAGATATACGTCATCCAGGCTCAGATGAGGAATAATGTTCTCAAGCTTGTCATTCTCAAGGTCAAATTTGAGGAAAGGAATGATGTGACCACCATCAATGTCTAACACTTGAACCCAGCATGGAGTTAGTATTTTAGTTTAGGGGGCACAATTTTAAGAAGAATATATATATATATATATAAGAGTCGAAGGGAAAAAAAGTAAGAAAAAAAAATATTAAAAATGACAATTTAAAAAAGAAACAATTAAAATTTAATTTATCAAGTAAAACTTAACTTTTTTTTTAAGGAATTTGAAAAGTAAGTTAGAAAAAACTAAAAAAATAAGAAATAATTTTAAAATCTAAAAATTTCAGGGGTATTATATAAAAAAATTCCATATATATATATGTATAAAATATAATTTTTTTTTTTTTTTATATGTATAGTGGGCGGGCCAGGCCAGAGGCATGTGCCCCATGGGCATACCCGGGCTCCACCACTGGTTGAACCTTGATCGTCATCATCATCATGGACAATATTGGTATGATGAATTTTCAGCAGGAAAGACATGCTCAAAACCCAGTACGAGCTTCTCATTCTCAAGAATGAAAGATAGATGATATGATAGAACGGATTTCTTAAAGGTTTGAGGTCAAGTGAATTTTCACGCAAATTTTTACTTTTAAAATTTGTTCATGTTAAAGATCCTCAAACCGGACTTTCAAAATCATTTTAAACAGAACCAGACGAACATAACTACCATTGGAAAGGGGGGTGTGGTTATTCCTGTTCTCCAAATGTAGCAATAATAATAATATTATTATTATATATATATACACAAGTAAATGCATACACGTATTAAGCACCAACTCGTAAAAAAAAATAATTAATATTGATATATAAAAAAATTAATTAATATTGATATATATATATTTTTATCCTTTTTGACTCTACATACAAAAAAATAAATAAATAAATAAAACTAACTCTTAAAAAGTATTAATTCTTTCATTTTTCTTCAAATTCTTATTGGTTATAAAATTTATTTTTTAACGAGAAAAAGTAAGAAGATAAAGAGATAATTTTGATCAGTTAGAGAGTAATTACCAAATCCCCTCAAATTCCTCTATTTTTATCCGGATTTGTATAGATTATAAAATTTCTGTAAAATAAGTTAGAGAACAGTTATCAAATCCCTTCAAATTCTCCATGGATTTGTTTAGGTTATAAAATTGAGAAAATTATATTTTGATGACCAAAATTAAACATAATTATTTTATAGTAACCTTAAAGTCAAGAAAAGGTGAATAGTGACCAATATTAAAACTTAATTGATATTAAGTGACCATTTTGAGGATAATTTAGTCAAAAACACTTAAATGTTTGATAAATATTTTAAAAATAAATTTTAGATAGACAAAATTGTCATCAAATACAAATAATAAGTCAACGTTTTTTCTAATCCAACCTTTTCTTTTTTCCTTTTTAGTTTACAATTTATCAATTTAAAAAATTAAGATTTCTTTATCAATATTATCTATTTTCCACCGTTTATCTACCAATGAACGCTTATAACATTTACAGTGGCAAATCATACTTCTAAAACACCCATTAACAGTTGGCAAAATTATGAAATTAATCAATAATGGTCATTATTTCTTAAACTATAATTAAGTAGTATTAATTAAAAAATTCATAAAAATTACAATCTTATATAGATCTCTCACAAATCAACTCGTAAAGTACAATAACTGTACCTTGAAAATAATGAATAAGAATAAAATTTACAATTTTCTAGTCCTGTCTCTTAGAACCTTGAAGAAAACGATGTAGAACATTCGTCCTCAGTTTTCTCCCATCTTAGTCTTCTTTTCAGAGACTCACCCTAATAATCTGTCGTCTTTTTGTTAATCAATTTAAGTAAGTGTTTATTTAGGTTAATTTAGAGGGTAAATTTGTTTACTTACATAATAATATATTATAAGAAGACTATTTAGGTAATAAACCATCAAATGGTCACTTAATATCAATTAAGTCAATATTGGTCACTATTCATCTTTTATTGACTTTAAGGTCACTAGAGCAATTATATTTAATTTTGGTCACCAAAATATAATTTTCCCTATAAAATTTTACTTTTTTACTTAGATATGTGAATAATATTGGTAAGTTAGAAAATCAGTCATCAACTCAGTTCTAATTAAATTGAAATTTCTTTTGGAATAAACGAAATTTCATTTAAAGTTAAATAAATTTTATTTCATTTATCTTTATTATTATGCGTGTATTTTTTTAGTCTAGATATGTGAGAGAAGTAAGAGGATAAAAGGAATAAATTTTGATAAGTTAAAGAGCAGTCACCAAATCCCCTCAAATCCTTTCATTTTTCTCCGAATTCTTATAGGTTATAAAATTTATTTTTTAATGAGAAAAAGTAAGAAGATAAAGAGATAATTTTGATAAGTTATAGAGTAATTATCAAATCTCCTCAAATCCCCTCATTTTTCTCCGGATTTGTATAGATTATAAAATTTCTCTAAGAAGATAAATGAATAATATTGCTAAGTTAGAGAAAAGTTATCAAATCCCTTCAATTTCTCCATGAATTTATATAGGTTATAAAATTTCACTTTTTTATGTAGATATGTGAATAATATTAGTAAGTTAAAAAATCAGCCATAAAATCAGTTCTAATAAAATTAAAATTTCTTTTGGAATAAACTAAAATTCATTTGAAGGTTAATAAATTTTATTTCATTTTATCGTTATTATTATGCGTGTATTTTTTTAACCTAGCTATGTGAGATAAGTAAGAGGATAAAAGGACTCAAATCCTTTCATTTTTTTCGGAATTCTTATAGGTTATAAAATTTATTTTTTTACAAGAAAAAGTAAGAAGATAAAGAGATTATTTTTACAAGTTAGAGAGTATTTACCAAATCCCCTCAAAGCCTCCTATTTTTCTCCAAATTTGTATAGATTATAAAATTTCTCTAAAAAAATAAATGAATAATAGTAGTAAGTTAGAAATTGGTTATCAAATCTCTTCAAATTCTCTATGGATTTGTATAGGTTATAAAATTTCACTTTTTTAAAGGTAGATATGTGTTGTTAGGTAGATATGTTGTGAATAATATTGGTAAATTAGAAAATCAATCATGAAATCCCTTTAAATTCTCCTAATTTGTATAAGTTATAAATTTCTTAAAGGATCCTGTCAAATCCAATTCTTTTAAAATCCCATTCATTTCAAACAACTTAAACCCATTTTCAAATCGAATTCCAAAGAAGCCCTCTCATTCCAAATGTTCATCGTCTCAATGTGATCGTCTTCGAAGCATCACAGTACATGTCTCGATACAGAGACCAACCACCTGCAGTTCGCGTCTATGTAGTGCGAAGAATCAAAGTTCGTTTCTCTCTCTCTATACACATATATATGTATGCATATTCTTTATTACCATCACTAGTCCAATGTTTGTATTGTGTCAATTGATTCTCAATGCTAGCTTCTATTGTTTAATAAATTTTTTTTAGCCTACTCTAATTGTACATTGTATTTATTTTCTGTTTAGATATAATCAGGTGTTGAACATTTAGTAGCTGGACCTTCCAAGAAAACGCCAGTAGACAATAGAAGAATAAAATGAAATATCTAGATTTGTGCAACCACTCTAGTCCAAATGGATGCTTGGATCTGAAGCGATGCTCATGCACCATAAAAAATGGTGGTGAGATAATAGAATCTGATCTAATGGTTTTAAAATTTTCTAATTCATAACGAATACCACGTTGGCGAACTCTATTCCCGCAAGAAGGAGAGCATTTGCAAGATGGGTCACACTCATAAACCATGGGTTTTGGTTTAAATTTACCATGGTTTATGAGTATGGTTGTTCTTGCAAATGCCCTTCTTCTTACAAAATAGAGTTTTCTATCGTGATATTCGATATGAATTAGACATTTTAAAGATATTTTTAAGACGGAATCAAAGGGTTGGGGTGTTCGATCACACGAGAATTTTTATGGTGCAGGGGCATTGCTTCAAATCCAAGCATTCATGGATCTAATTGCACCGAGCATTCATTGATCCAATCGCAACCAATTGGACTAGAGTCGCTGTACCTGTACAAATCTGGATATTTCATTTTGGCTGTGTAATTTAAAGCAGTGGATACTCATCATTCATGCAATTCGCTCTCTTTCCTCTTCCTAGAGAAATGTCACTTTCCAAGCAGACTTAAATTCTCTGACTTGTTCACTATTTGCCGATTCTTCTCATTACTTGTACCCTTAATTTATATGTTCTCTATTTCAAGATATTTTTCATGTATCTTGTTACCCATCATTTCTCTATGGCACTGAGGAAATTTGAATATGTCATGTGGGTACGCACAAAAATTATTTGAAGCAGGAAAGTATGTTATGCAATGATACAAAAATGGGTGTCTCTGTATGGAAGCATGTAATTGGATCTTCATTTCTTTTTCATGATTTTGTAATTCATTTTGGGCAAAATAAAGGTTTTGATTAAATCAAAATTATTTTCAGATACAACTAATCATATTTTCTGAAAATTATTTTTCTAATTTTTCAAATCAAGCAAATTTTTAATCTAAAAAATTTTAAAACGATTTTTTATTCTAATTACTTGAAAACTGTTTTGAAAAATTATCTTCACAATTGCAATTCAATTAACGCAAGTTCTATGGGATTTCGGCTGAAATTAGAGAACGTTAATATGTCATTAGGTCCTCCATATATTACGCATTCGCCATTGCATTTTTCGCTTATGGTTATTGAAATTACAATTTTGCCAGCGTGCCAACGCGCTCGAGCGTATCTTACTAGTTACTTACGATGCTCCATCGAATTATTGCTAGTCTTAAAACCATGGTTGGGCATAACAATTTAGGTCTCTTCATTTTAACACAAAAACCGGACGAGTTCCACATTGTTTGGAATCATATCTTTTTATGATTTGAAATTAGAATTGAAAAAAGATTTGAATTCTAATTAAAATGAAATTTCTTTTAAAATAAATTAAAATTCATTTAAAGGTAAATAAATTTTATTATATCTTATTTTATTTTTATTATTATCCGTGTATTTTTTTAACCTAGA